AAGTAATTAAAATTAAATGCCTAAAACTTTTCTTGATTTGATTTGTACAGAATTATTAATAACATTTTGGAAATCAAGTTTTCTTTAAATATCAGATTCTGAGCTCATTATCGCTAGTTGATTGATCCTGTATCCGCYCATAGATGTATGTAATCTGTATAATATTTTATGTGTTTTAAATTAGAGAATGATMTTTTACTACYGCTGTTTGTTATCATAAAAATAAGATGATCGAGAAGAACTATTTCAACATTAAGAAAACAATCTTTTACTTCCTTATTTATTAATACTTGGCACCTATATTAAATATTCTTGACGAATATTGTGAAGTWCACCATTTTCATCTTTAAAATGTTTATAAGATTCTTTWAACTGAATATGTTCAAATTATCTAACCTGTATAATAWATATTTTTATATGCTATTAAATATAAAAAATAAAAAATAAATATTATTTAAAGTAATATTTATTCTTCGTATAGAAGGTAATAACTGTAAAACTTTGAATTAACCTCAGAGAAAGTTGTGTTAGGTTGTGTTATGAAAAAAWTATGTCATTCACTTGTAGTTTGTGAAATAATTTCAGTATTTTTTTTCTTTTTCTTTTGCCAATATACGTTTATCTATACCACTCTTATAAAATAGCTTTAATTTATGATGATCTTCTTCCATTTTTAAATTTGTTAAAATTTTAGAATTAAATTAATCAATTATTCCTTAATATATTATATTGAACATACGGCTTATTCTAAGAATTTTACTTTAAAACCTAAAATGACAGTCAGACATAGACGTTGATATAATATTAGATATAAATATATAATGATTCATTATGAATGTTCGCAAAGGTGAGTATCGCGTGGCTCGTCGCTTTGATGTGATAAGGTTATCCAAGGAAGTCTGCGCGTGATCAAGTCACCATCCTCCTCCCACCATTAATATATTATTATAATTAGATATAATTATCTGTGTAAATATTTTTGTGTAATTAAAAATRTATATTGACTTTGTTTTTCTCGTTGGTTATATTCTATGTCAAATGTCTTTGTATAGGTATAGGTATCATTTGTTTTATCATATCATGTTTTTTCTGTCGTTTTCGTTGTTGGTGTAATGGTGTGTGTTCGCTTTTAAAACCAACACCTTTTTTTTGTCCTCGCTGTTGGTTTTCTCAAATCGTGTTTTGCAAATCGCCACTACGACATAATCTGTGTATTGTTTATTGCCATTGCTGCAGGTTGTACCAGAACCATGGGCGCCCATAGGTAAAATTTTAAGGATGGTCAAAATAAAAAAAATCTCAAATGTAAAGATTAAATGTTATTTTCACAAATGAATGTAAATATGCATGTGATATTTGTACTGTCATATATATATATATATATATATATATAGGTACAGTTGATTCATATTATTTTTTGTCCAGGGGGGTGGCAAGTGCCAGACGTATGTTGAAAAATAAACTCCACCACAACACCCTTAAAGTGAGTAGTTTTCTTTGATTTTACACTTTCCTTGCACACGTCAGCGTTAAGTCACAATACGGTATTCCGCGCTAACAAGTCTGATCTCCACGCTGCCGTTGATCCTCCGTCAGCTGTTATATAACGATCATTTGCGAGCACGCATAAGTTCGCCAGAATCTGCCGTGGCGTGTGGGAGGCTACCAAGGCCGTCCAGTTTCTATTCACCAACCTTAACACGCACCGTCCTCATCATAGTCTTAAGTCAATTTCTGGTGCCCATCTCATTGTAAGCCCTGCTGCGTCATTGCACCAGACTGGATCTTACACAGAGCCCCTGTTCCCACACATACTCTGTACCATCCTGCCACCATATAACCTGTTTCTGTTCCTTTGCCATACAACCGTCGGTCCGAGTGGCCGATGTCATCGTTGTATATTATAAATTGTCAAGTAGTGAGTTTGGTTGCCTCTTCACATTTATGTCAGGGGTATTGGGAGGACGTGATGAGAGGATTAACTACGGGCGCTTCCCACATCAGCTTGTGACAATCGGTTTCGTTAGGCACCAAATCAAGCCACGTAGTGCTCCTCTTCCCTATCAATGAATTAGTATGCAATCAAATTTCTGTATTATATCTATTGTAAAACAAAAAGCTCTCTTACACTGTATATGTGAGCTTTAAGATCATGTCTATGGTACAAAATATTATTCTACTGTCTACTAATTATACTTATGTTTCATTAAAAAGTATGCAGGTCCACAGTGATGTTTTAATTTAGTTAATCGTACAAACAGTGTTTTAACATTCTCCATTTTTTACATTTCCAAATCAAATTTAAGAGTGAGAAWAGAGTCTACATATGATCAAGTGGAATAATCGATAAAAATTCAACTTCATACCAATTTTAAATATATTTTCATATGTTTTATGACATGTATGCCAGATTGTTTAAAATTAGTAACTAGGTATTGGTTTGTTTTATGATTCAATTAAATTTATTGAACCAGTTATGTTATTCACTATTGATTCATTAAACTCCTTATGGTTGCTTACGAACCCAACAATTTATTTTGGTAAAAAGTAATACTCTTAAATTTTATATCAAGATTATTTAAATACCTATTGGTACCGATTATATCTCTTAATCTTGTATATCAGTAACTTGTACTTGTATTTATTTAAAAAAAAATTAAAAATATATAKTAAACTAGAAATCACACATAGTATAGATTTTTATTATAGTGATAAACGTACAACTATATAACTATACATGAYCGTGTGGATATAAAATATACATACTATGTCATGCCTCGTGCATATAAATAAAGAACATATTTAGTATATTGTGATCACTGCTGCGCACATGTTATATTCGTGTAATATACTTACTTAAATTCTCTTTAGGGCTACGATAGATTCTAATTGATCCTGAAAAACACATTTTATAAATAAATAACGTACCTATGTAAAATATTTGTTTCAAACTGTGAGATGATTATKTATTAATTATTTTCACATAATTTTTTATTAAATTCTTGATATCTCAAGACTGGCCAAACCATATGAGGCAGTGTCAATATACATGCTATAAAATATTAATATTAATTCACTATAGATACTATAGACACTAGATTATATAAAAGTATCTTTTATTTTCATAGGTATAAACGAAAAATATTCAATTTCTGTCTAAACGAAACTACCATGTGACCACAGCTTTGAAAATATTTTCATTGTGCACTCCTACATTGTGGTATGAATGTAGTTTTTAAATTCAAGTATTACATCTATTCTAATTTTAGGCTCTACATTTATTAGTCATCAGTTGACCAGGACATTTTTGTTTTTGGTACAATGGTACCATCATCGTCGATAAATATACAGAATTTCAATAACGAATTAGGGGTTTATTATAAAAATATATTATAATTTAGTACCCACTAATCTACTTTCATCCAATAAAAAAAATTGGTTTTCAAATTAAATTTTATGATAATATTGATTTTCAGGCCCCCATTTCAACTCGATATTTTTTGTTCCTGACACGTTTCCATTTTAGCAGGTCCCGCAGCCCGTCGCTGGTACAAGATACTTACAAAATGTCAAATTCTTAACTATTAAAATTTAGATACTATGATGATCTATCAATCAGTCAGGACACGTTCCATTATCTATTAGATACCATCCTGGAAAATATAATATAGATTTCGAAAAAGGGAAAGCAATTAACCTAGGTATGTCTTGCAACTTGTAGCCCTACTCACATAATTACCTAGTGGCAAATAATACATTTTAAATTACAGTTAAAATAAGTATAATATTATTATCATCATAAATTCATAACTTACTTTGACCAATTGGTTGGCTTTTTTCAAATCTTCCAACTCTAATGTTAGACGTTTAACCAAAGCATTGCGCTCTTCAGTTGCGGTTTGATCAATCTTCTCTGTCATCATGGTGATTTCCATCAACTCGTTCTCTAATTGTTTGTTATCAGACCTTAAATATTTCACACTCTCTGATAATTCGGACCTTCTGTGTTCCCGCTATAGTGGAAGGATTACAATGAAAATTTGAATCTTATATTAAGTGTATCCACAAAGTATTATATACAATATCATAGTTAATACAAATTAATAATTATAATATACCTAAGCATAAATTGCTCATTGATTAGGTTATGTTAAGGCATATACGTATAGAGCTGAAATGGTAATATGTGTCGTTAACTTCGTGGAGAGCTAGAACAGTGTACGACGCATATCTCTCTCGAAAGTCCTGTGCGAAATCTGCATGAAACGAGTTGGCCCTGCTAGAYACAACCACCTCCGTGGTGGAATGAAAAACTGGACCGAGAGTTAAGCATCCTCGGTCACTGGAAGGTCAAACTACGAAACATTAGAAACGCGCTAAGAAGGCGATCCATCCGTGGTACATTTAGGAAACTTAAGGTCCAGTACAAAAKAAATTGTTTCGTGGCCAGACGTACAGCCTGACCCAAGTTCGTCACGCATACGGGTAAAAGTGAACCGTGGGGACCAGTCTATAAATGGTTAAAACCCGGTAGATCTAGACCTTTGAAAAACCTTCTAGCWTCAGTCTATAGAGAGGATGGGTCGTATACGGACTCCCTAWGTGAAACCGGATAGGTCCTCATGGWCGAACTGGTCCCGGAAGACACCGTAGAAAACGAAGACCCAAGGCAAATAGTAGTCCGCGCGGAGACAGGTGTGATGGTAGGCGCCTTCAGCCGACAGAGCTAGCGGTTTCCGGCACTGAAATAAATCTGTGCAACGTTGAAGAGGTAAAGGAAGCCAGCTGGTGAATGTTTCCCAATAACAGAATGATGGAATGACGGATATACAGGGGGCAATTTAAGGCAGGCTTGGCCTGTCCTGGCAACACATATCACCAGCGTGTTTAACAACTGCCTGAGGACCGCAAGGTTTTTCCTAGTGGCTGGAAGGATGCGCGGGTGGTAGTCATCAGAAAATCATCGATGAAAGATCACACAGAGGCTAAGTCTTATCGCCCTATAAGCCTCCTCCCAGTGATATCGAAAGCCTTTGAATATGTAATAGTAGAAAGAATCCGTAAAACCGCGAAACCGAACATGTCGAAACGACAGTTTGGATTTACAAAGAACCTCTCAACGATCGACGCGATCCAGCATGTCTTACAATGGACAAATGATAGGCCAGAAAAATATGTCCATGCGATTTTCCTCGATATATCAGGCGCTTCTGACTGCTTGTGGTGGGCCCAGCTGATCTTAGATATGCAGGCAGTAAACTGCCGGGATAGGCTAATTGAACTCACAAAAAGCTACCTTGACGGTCAAAGCGCGGAATTAACGATCGGAGACCAAAGAATAACGAGGACTCT